TCACTTACTTCAGCTTTAGAGCTGTTTTCTAGAGTTCACCAGAAAAGTTACTGCTACTATACAGTCAGTTATAGTATCTCTGGTAGTGTAGTGGTTACGAATCGGGCTGCAAACTTCAAGGTCAGCAGTTCGAAACTACCAGCTGGGAGAAAGAGGAGACTTTCTGCTCCCTTAAAGATTTGCAGCCTCGGAAACCCTGTACAGGGTCGCTATGAGTCGGAACCGATTCCACGGCACATAACAACAATAACATACAGTCAGTTGGAGTCCTGGTGTGGCGCTGTGGGTTAATGCGCCAGACTGCAAAACTGTTTGAACTGCAAGGTCGGCGGTTCAAGCTCACCAGCTTGGAAACCCTATACAGGGTCGCTATGGGTTGGAATCAACTTGACGGCACTTGACAACAACAACAACATACAGTCAGTTAAGGAGGTCTGGTAGCGTAATGATTACGAATTGGGCTGCCAACTGCAAGGTCAGCGGTTCGGAACTACTAGCTGTTTCGCGGGAGAAAGATGAGGCTTTCTGCTCCTGTAAAGATTTACAATCTCGGAAACCCTGTACAGGGTCGCTATGAGTCGGAACCGACTCCACGGCACATAACAACAACAACATACAGTCAGTTGGAGTCCTGGTGTGGTGTTGTAGGATAAGCACCGGACTGTTAACCAAAAGATTGGTGGTTCAAGTCCACTAGCTGCTCCTTGGAAACCCTATGCAGGACAGCTGTGAGTCAGAAATGACTCCACGGTACTGCACAACAACAAATATAGCCAATTAAAGTGTCCTGGTGGTGCTGTACATTATAATTGTTAGAATTGGACTGCTATATGAGTTCATGAGTTCAAAACCACCAGTCATTCTGTCAAGAAAGGTGACTCTATCTGCTCCCATAAAGATTTACAGTGTCAGAAACCCCCATGCAGGGTCGCTACCACTCGGTGGCAATGAGTTAAAACCAAAAAAATTTATAGCCATTTAATTCAACAAATATTTAATTAATGCCAAAAATGGAGCCCTGGTGTGGTGCTACAGGATAATGAGCTGGACGGCAAGGTCGGTTTGAACCACAAGGTCGCTGGTTCAAACTCACCAGCCGCTCCTTGGTACCCTACACAGGGTCGCTATGAGTCGGAATTGACTCTGCAACACGTAACAACAATGGAACAGCACAACTATTTTATCAATTTCTATTACATAGATATATTTTATTCTTATTTAAATATAATTAACTTAGAAGTTAAAACTGTATGTTACTGTTTTTGCTGTTAAATGTCATCCAGTCGATTCCGACTCATAGCAACCCTGTATAGGATGTCCGAGGAGTGGTTGGTGAGCTTGAACCACCGACCTTGTGGTTCAAATTGACTTTGCAGTCCAGCGCATTAACCCACAGCACCACACCAGGACTCCAAAGAATATTTATTTATAGATTTATTGAAATTATAAACAGATAAGGGCATTGAACCAAGTAAGTGACAGTACTAAATATAAAGAAATTCCTTCCCATCTCACTCCATTAGAAATAGCCATAAAGTTAAACTATTTTCCTACCCTCCCCCAAATAGAAAAATTTCCTCTTAAAGCATCTACCAATTTTTACTAGCCCAGATGAGACTCAGTTGCTGATCTTTATTTCATTCTGTCTCCTGATTTGTCCTACTATTTATTTAGTGACCACAAGACATCTTTAAAGTGTTAAAGAGTAAAGGTATCACTTTGAGGACTAAGGTATGCCTGACCCAAGCCATGGTATTTTCAATTGCCTCATATGCAAGTGAAATTTAGACACTAAATAAAAAAGAACATAAAAGAATTGATGTATTTGAGTTTTGGTGTTGGAGAAAAATATTGGAAGTACCATGGGCTGACAATAGAACGAACAGAACTGTTTTGGAAGAGGTACACCCAGAATATTACTTGGAGTCAATGATGGCAAGACTTGGTCTCTCATACTTCAGACATATTATAAAGAGGAACCAGTCTCTGGAAAAGGATATCATGTTTGGTAATGTGGAGGGTCAGCGAAAAAGAGGAAGATCCCCATTGAGATGGATTGGCACAATGGCAGCAGCAATGGGCTCAAGGGTAACAAAACTTGTAAGAATGGTGCAGGACTGGACAGGGTTTTGTTCTGTTGTACATAGGATCGCTATGAGTTGGAACCTACTCAACATCACCTAGCAACAATGTTTTAGGTACTAATGAGTCCTGGTGTGGCGCTGTGGGCTAATGCGTCAAATTGCAAAGTCGTTTGAACTGCAAGGTTGGTGGTTCAAGTTCACCAGCTGCACCTTGGAAACCCTATACAGGGTGGCTATGGGTTGGAATTGACTCAACAGCACTTAACAACAACAACAATAATGACCACACAGTGAACATGAAAGATGAAGTTCCTGCCATCTTAGTACATAATTTTCCTCTTCATCATCTCAAACCTTCAAGGTCAATATCCAGCTTAAATCCAGTTCTCCACTTAACATCTGTCTTGTGTTCAACTCATACTTTATGCCACAACCTGTTTATCTTCACCTCTTCTTAGCCACCACTTAAGAAATGTCCATCACATCCTGGGATATAAATCATGATTGGATGACTGTGCTAGACATGCTGCAAATCTGGGGACAGATAGGAAAAACTTTACCTAGCCTTCTCTACACACACACTCACACAAATTAGGACAGTATTATCAGAAATTGCTAAAGCTCTACTCAGTATTCACTGTACAGATACGCAGAAGGAAAAAAAAAATCCACAGGCAGACTGAGCATTCCTATTTGGATTTACATGAATCGCACAAGTGTCTACTGTTCAAGTGACAGCAAATTACTAGGGCAATGAAAGAAAGAGAGCTGAAGTATCTGAAGATGGTCCCCTTTCCCTTCTAAATATCATCAGCAGCAATGGAGTAAAGAAGGTCATGCTTGCTGTATAACCTACCTAGCATATATAAGAGAATTCTAAAACTTAGGAATTTTTACATGTCACCCTTCCCACACATACACACACACAAGTAACTAAACAAATAAATAATTTTGTAATAAATACCTTTGCTCCTCTATTCTCTAACTTCTAGAATTAGCTACTCTTTAATTGAAGTATGCTGAGGTAGTCAATGTCTTGCATTCATTTTATTCCCAATGAAGCTATTTGATTTTGATCATGAACAATGGCAGAGGAGTGGTGGATGGGGGACGTGGAAGAGGACAGCAAACTTTTGTTATGTGTCTGACTTTTTATTTATTTCCTTGGAAATAAAGACAGCACATCATTTCCACTATATATAATTAAGAAAAATACTAAATTTATACAAGAGTAAGGCTTCTGTTGAAGCTGAGAAAATGTCAATTACTTAAGAAGTGAGTAATATTTCAAAACCAAGTTTTAAAAAGCAACTACATGACATACTAGTTTATAACAATCTTTAGGTCAGAAACCTTTTTTACTGTATGTTGTTGTTAAGTGCCGTCAAGCTGGTTCTGACTCATAATGACACTGTATAGGGTTTTCAAGGGTCAGTTGGTGAGCTTGAACTGGTGACCTTGTGGTTTTCTGTCCAGTGCTTATCCTACAGCACCACACCAGGTGTCCTCTTTATTGTATGTTGTTGTTAAGTGTCATTGAGTCAGTTCTGACCCATAACGACCCAGTATACGGTTTCCGAGAAGTGGCTGGTGGGCTTGATCTGCTGCCCCTGCGGTTCAAACCAGCTTTTCAATCCAGTGCATTAACCCACAGCTCCATACCAGGACTCCCTTTACTGTATTGTTGTTGTTAAGTACTGTGGAGTCTGTTCTGACTCATAGTGACCCTGCGCAGGGTTTCCGAGGCCGAGGTTGTAAATCTTTACGGGAGCAGAACGCCTCATCTTTCTCCTGCAGAATTGCTGGTAGTTTCAACCTGCTGACCTTAAGGTTGGCAGCCAGACCCATAACCACTATGCTACCAGAGTTCCATACTGTATACTACTATATTAATAACAATCCAGCTGCTCCTTGGAAACCCTAAACAGGGTCACTATGAGTTGGAACCAACTCAATGGCACTAAACAACATCAGCTATGTATTTACTTTTTATAGAAAAGTCATATACCTATCACCAGATCCCACAACTATGAAATTTGAGATATTTCTTTAGCTTTATTTTAAAGATACATTCTTAGCAGCTGATGGTCATTGAGCTCACTTATCACCACTAAAGTACATTTGTTAAAATGTTGTGAATATTTTTTTTAATGTCTGTTTCAATTTCGTGGTGTTTGGTTAACATTATTAAAAGTGCTCACCCAAAAAACGTCAAGGGTAACTATACTCTTGTTTTCATGCAACTGAAATATAGAAACATTTCAGTTACAGAGAGTTTTATTGGCCACCATAATTCCTAGGAAACTTTTTGAGCATGTATGATATGCCAAACACTGCACTAAGGACTTTATAGGATAGCAAATCTTCAAATAATCCTATGAGATATTCTTGTAATCCTCACTCTCCAGATTAGGACTCTGAGGCTGAGTGAGGTTGCTACCTCAATTTGTCCAGTCACTCACCAAGTATTAGGCAAAACTAATACTTGGTGAGCTAATAGAATTATATTTGTTAAAATTGTATTTAATGTCTATGAAAAATATTTTGAAGGATTAAAAAAATGTAATGCTTACCATTAATAATCAGATAAGTAGTAAAACATAACATTTTATGTAGTCATGGTTTAAATTAATAAACTTTTATATAAATAGACTGAACCCTGATGGAAAATATACTAACCAGGAGAGATATAAGAAGCCAACACATTTTTTCAGATGAAGAGAAAGGATCAGAACAGCCTGTCAAATAAAAAAGATCTAGGGATTTACAAGAGATTGATCAAAATGTCTTGGATTTCAAGCCCAAGTTTTCATTTTCTGTGTATAACAAATTAAAGAAATATTTCATCTCATTGGTTTTATTTCTTAAACAGAAAACTTAAGATTTGTTTCATAAACAATAAAAATTACGACTTACGTGTCAACTGAAATGAGTTTCTTTTCTCCGTTGTCAGGGGCATAGTTCCAAGTTGTTTCAACAATTCCAATGTAATAATGCTTATCTTTTGCCCAGGCTGAGTTGCTGTATAAAAACAAAAAAATAGTAAGCCACAAAACCTTCATTTTCCCCTTCTCTTGGAACCTTAGAATCATGAAGTGAAATCAGAAGCAGGCAGTTTTATAAATAAGGGTTTCTCAATTTATTTGCTTGGTTGACACAGTTCAACATTGCACAAGAGTAAATTGTTTCTTTAAAGCAAATAACATCTCCTAGTTCAGTTCAGTTCTCAGAAACCCTGGAAAAAACAGTTATTTGTTGACAGGATTCTCTGATTACAAGGAAGAAACGAACAGTTATTGTTGGAAGGATCAGAGTGTACATAACTGTTTCTTTTTCTATTCAGCGTGTAAATTCCAGAAAGGCAGAGACCATCTCTTAATGCATTCTTTGTTTCTCCAACAATATGCCATAGTATAGTGTCAAGCATTCAGAAAGCTTTTCATAAAGCAGGATAACCAATACACAAAGTGAATAAAAAGATGCCACTTCTTACTATTTATAAAAATCTAACAAAAACTTTTTAAAAACATGAAGCATCTTATTTAGCATGCCAAATTTAAGTAATAAAAAATTAAAACTTCATTTTGAATGATTTATCCATTCTGTGAGCTCTGAACACAACAGCATTGAAATGGTGCCATATTATTCTGTATCACCATATGCAAACATGCATTTGAATTACGGTGGTGGTGAAGAATAGTGATTATACCAAAGACTGCCAGATGAACAGACAAAATTGTCTTGGAAGAACAACAGCCAGAATGCTCATTGGAAGTAACAGTGGTTAGACTTCGTCGCACGTACTTTGGACATGTTATCAGAAGGGACTAATCCCTGGAGGAGGACATCATGCTTAGTAAAGCAGAGGGTTATCAAAAAGAGGAAGAGCCTTAATGAGACGTGTTGGCATAGTGTCTGCCACAAGGGGCTCAAATATAACAATGATTGTGACGATGGGCCACAATGGGGCAGTATTTTGTTCTGTTGTATTTTGTTCAATGAGTTGTTGGAACATGCTCAAAGGCACCTAACAACAAAAGTAACATATGCAAATACTAGCAGATCATAACAAAGATTGATAATTCTATTTTAAATTAATTTCTCTATTGCGATTAAATATCTAACAAAACAGTTGCTAATTAAACAACTTTTACATGTATAATTCAGTGACATTGATTTTATTCATCGTGCTATACAATCATCACCACTATCCTCTTCCAAATGATTTCACCACCATTAACAGAAACTCAGTGCCCCCTAAGCAATTGATTTCCCCTTTCCTCCTCACTTCCAGACCTGGAAAACACTAATAAACTTTCATCTAGCTCTGTATTTCTATTTCATATGTTATTGTTAAGTGTCGTCGAGTCAGTTCTGACTCATAGTGACCCTGCACAGGATTTCTGAGGAGCAGCTTGTAGGTTTGAACCTAAGAGCTTGTGATATGTTGTCCAGCATTCATCCTACAGCGCCATATCTCATATAAGTGGTATCATTTGTCCATTTGTGATTGACTTATTTCACCCAGCATAATTTGCTTTTATAATTATTTATTGTTGTTTTAATAACCAACTGCTATTGAGTTGCTTATGATTCATAGCAACCCTATATAGAGTTTTCAAGACTGTAAATCTTTATGGATACTCCTTCTCTTTCTCTGAAGAGCGGCTGGTGGGTTTGAACCAATGACCTTGCAGTTAGTAACCCAATGCTTATCCCAAAGTGCCATCATGCTGTTACATGTATCAAGACTTCATATTTCTTTATTCATTGTATGATATATCAAATTTGGTTTATTCACTTAATGATGGACATTTAGGTTGTGTCCGTCTTTTGGCTGTTATGAATATTACTGAAACAAACAAGTTTTTGTTTTTGCTTTTAATTCTTTTGAGCATATACCAAGGATTTGGATATTTGAGTCATATTATAGTTTTATATTTAACTTTTTGGATACTAGTCAAACTATTTCCCACAAGGGCTTTTACCACTTTTCATTCTTAGAAGCAAGAATAAAGGTTCCCACTTCTCTAGATAAATCATTTTAATTATCAAAGAAATTAGCCATAAATAAACCTTTCTTCAAAGGCAAAGTTTAGTGTCAGTGAATAGAATATATCCTAATTTAATTACCTGGGTTATTATATCTCTCTCTTATAAGGCCATGGATTTCAGGATGGAAGACTTTTTAAAATTAAATTCCTGTCTTTTGTTGTTAAAAAAAAAATATCTTTTTAGTTAGCTAACATTTGTCTAAAAATATAAAGTAGCTTTATAAAGTAGCTTTTTCACCCTCTTCTCTCCTTTCGCCCTCCCTTCCCCCCCCCCTTTTTTTTTTAATTTACGGGAAAGTTCCCAGTAGTATGTCATAATGAGAAAATAAATATACCCTCCTTCTTTCCAGTACATGAAAAAGAAAATAAAAAAAACAACCCAAGAAAAACAAAATAAAAAAAACAAAAAAAGGAAAGCAATTTCCTTCCCCCACCCCCCTTCCATTTATTTTTAACTGACTTTCCCATCACCCAAGTTAGCATGTCTACACTTTTCCTAACAACCCTGGCAACCATCATAAGATGTTTATTATAAAATGAAAACCTTTTCTTGACTTTTTATACTAGTGATCTCATGCAATATCTGTCTCTTTATGACACATTAATTTAATTCAGAATAATGTCCTCTAGGTTCCTCCATGTTATGTGAAGTTTTGGAAATTGTTGTACAATATTCCATTATGTGTCTATACCAAAGGGTTTTTTTATTATTGTTTTTTAACAGAAGAAAATCCTGATAAGAATGCACTTATTTTTCAAACCATCATTTTCTGTCAAAGTATTATGCAAGTATTTGCTAAAGGCTGTTTGCTGAAATAGATAGGTGTAGGATAATATTTGAACACCTCATTCATTTAACAAACATTACTGAGAGAGTCTAAGTGTGTTAGACACTGTTCCAGGACTGGGGATTCAGCTGTGAGTAGAATAAACACGGGTCTTTACCCTTACATTATACTTGAGGGAGACACATAATATACAAATGAAGGTGAAATATATGCTATTAGTGGTAAATGCTATGGAAAAAAATAAATCAAGGAAGGACAATAATGTACGCTAGATTATCCAGAAGCATGAAGGCCAAAATCTGACACTAATATGTGACCTAGGGCAAGTTATTTAACCTCTAAGCCTCAGTTTCCTTAGATGCAAAATCCCAGCCTCAGAGACTTGGTATCCAAATTAATTGGAATGATTTATGTTTAGACACATAGAGAAGGAGCCCCTCCCACCAATTGGCAGTTATCTTCTCTCTCTCTCTCTCTCTCCCTCTCAATTGCTCTTTTTTGTTTGTTTGGTTAGAAGCTCCAAAGCAGAAAGATGAGGCTTTCTGCTTCTGTAAAGATTTATGGAACTGACTCAATGACACATAACCACCATCACCATCAGGAGTCTGTATTTAAAACAAGTGACTTATTTTTCTTTCCTTTTTTTTT